CATATGTTACCATACAGACAGATGTAATAACATTTTCCGGCAAGAGTTTTTCAAATAGTAGCTTCAAATAAAAAAGATTCTGAAAGTGGAACACTAGTCAGAAATCATACAGTCTGGTTAATAAAATTTTATACTTTAATTATGTTTAAAATATATTTTAGCATACCCTATACTACTCTGTTCTTATAGGGACCCTGAGGTACTACTTTCCTCATTTTCCAGATGAAAAAGCTAAGACTTTGATGAGTCAAGCTGCTTGATGATACCCCATGGTGCAGAGCAGACCTAGGACTCAAGTTTAGATCTTGAGCTTCCTTGTCTAGGAAGCTTCCTACTATATCCCTAGTGCCTCTACAGGTATTGCTTTTGAGGTCACACATTTTGCTTTTTTTTTGTAAGCAAAATCTTCACCTCCAAGAAAATATATTTAAAAATTATTTGAGAGGGAGAGAGAGAAACAGAGAAAGTTACAGAAACTCCCCTCTGCTGGTTCATTCTCCAAATGCCTGCGATGACCCCACTCTGGGTTGAAGCTGGGTAGCCAGGAACACAACCCAGGTTTCCCATGTGGGTGACAGGAACTCAGTTACTTGAGCTACCATCACTGCTGCCCAGGGTCTGCACTGGCAGGAAGTTGGAGTCAGGAGTCAGAGCCGTGAATCACATCCAGGCATCTGATGTGGGTGTGAGCATCTTAACTGCTAGGCTTAGTGTCCACTCCCAGATCAGGCATCTTTTAGGCCCAGCGTGATTTATTTTACTTGCTTGGTATGCGGGTGTTTATTAATATATTCTTTATACAATTTTTTGAATGTGCAATTGTGGACATTATTGGTAATCAGTTACTGATTTAATGAAGTGATCACAAAGGTACAACCTTCTTCTGATAAATTTAAGAATTTAATGTTTAGGAAAATATGAATAGAAAAGCTTAGCAGACAGTGTTTTAACACAAAATTAAAGCAGGGCAGAAAACTGTACTCTTAGACTAAAGTGGATAAGAGCTGTTATTTTGCTCCTATGTCCACTTTGGGATCCAACTGTCATTGTAGTAAGCTCTTGAATATGAAAGAAAGATAATTCAACATATTTAAAAGATGTTTCAACATTTTTTTTCATGAAAATGATTACCCTCTCAATACAAAGAACATTAATTAGTTTCCTTTCAGATTGCTTCTTTATTATAACAAATTCTAATTTAAGTTCTGCATCAGAAAGATTTCTAAGGAAACCTGACTGCTAGTTTTGCTAAGGTAAAGGGTAAATAAAATACTATTTTATAATAAATTTCAGATGAAACAGGAGATGAAAAGGATAAAAAAGGTGAAAAGTAGGCAATTAAAATGGAATGAAAAGCTTATGTGGGAAACCAGAAAGGGACCTAGAATCTAGTCCTACTCTTATCCAGATATAAAAAACCTGCAGTCAGTTCAGATCCCTCACTGAAAGTGAACCACAGCTGGACTGGAGAGTGCTTCAACCTGGTAGACTCCTTGTTCTCCTACCATGCCCAGTGTGGTCAGCAGACAGGGTCTGTGTGTGTAGACAGAAAAGGCTGCAGGCTAGTACATGCCCAGTCCCCAGAGAGGCTAACACATGCAGCAAAGAAACTAATCTTGTGGGAGAATAAGACTTTTTTTTTCATCGTATAGAATAAAATTTTCTGGGACAGTTAAGCTGCTGCAAAGACCTAATTATTTGAATTTTCGAAAATAGAAATGATCTTTCTCATCTTTAGTTTGCACTATTCTACCAGAGATGGAAGCTATGGTTATATATAAAATGCATGTATTTTCACAGGAACCTAGCTTGGAAGAGTAAGCTAAATCTATCACTTTCCCAGGAGCCTCCAGTGGCTCCTTATCTCTGGTGGGTGCACCGCTTAATTGCAGGCAGAGCTACTCTGAAGCGCTGAGTTAGCACTTTCTATTCTCTTTGTTCACCAAAGAATGCTAGAACTACACATCCAGATAAGAGTTGAAAATTTGGAGGCACATATTTGAGATTTTAAAATGCCTAAATTTCTGAAACACTTGTGCATCAAATAGCATGAAAGAAAATGGGAAGGAATAGTACTTTTCCTTTCATATTTCCTTTTTATGATCACCATAATAAAAAATCCTTTTGGCATGCTTCCAAGCACAGCAAGTTAGCAGAGTATCAGATGAGGAAAAATAAGACATTTAAATGACTGAAAATTTCAGCATTTTATGTGCAAGTGAGTAGAAATTTATACATACATATACATATGTCATATATTTTAGTTACATGTTACTTTTGTTAACAAAAATTGTCCACAAAATGAATGCTGGCAAGTAACATTCATTGTTAGGATTACCATGAAGAAAAAGGAATTTGCATTTTATTTACATGTGAGAACAGTTTATTTTCACTTTCAATGAATTGTACTCCTAAAATCTGGCAAAATTAAAATTTCCATTATTTTATGTATTGAGAAGATTTTATTTTGGACTGAAAAGGTAGTAGAACTGTTATGTGTATTGATTGAAATAGCCTCACTTCATAAATGAGCAAAGGTGCATAACCATGTTGGTTTCTCCTATAGCTTAAACATTGCTTAAACATTTTAATACTCTATGGGTATATAGTGTTCTCTATGTTTTCTAAAAATGTAAATAATCAGAGAATTCTTCAATTAAGAACTTCTTTACTTTACAAGGCCAGATACAGGGAGATAAGTTTAGAAGGCTAAGGACTCCCCGTGGGAAAAGAAAAGGGAAAATAATAGCTCAAAATGTAGCTTGTTCAGATCTCCTTATATCTGATTCCCTGCTTTTCAAATCTTTGGGAAATTTAGTAAAACATGAATTTTATGTCTTTCACAGTTTAGGAATCCTGTACAATATTCTCAGTTTTTTGCTTTTTTTCCACAGGAGAACCAAAGAAGCATGTTGAACAAAGTGAACCAATTCAGCGGTTGGAAGGTGTTATGGAGAGGTCCTGTGACATACGTTCTTCAGTTTTGTTTGAAAAGAACTGTAGAATTGATGAAAATTTTATACCAAATATACATTTGAAAACATGAATATAATTCATTTATCAAAGGCATGTATTAAAACACGGTATTAGTGTTTTTTCTTTTTAAATTAAACTGACATAGCTTGAGAAAAAATATTAAAGACAAAGCGTGCCTTTTGAGTAAAAACACAATTTTCAGTCTCAGTGTGGGAACCTTCTCATCTTTATCTCAATTAGTAGCTCTTTCAATAGCAATGGCCCCTTGCCTGTCATGGTCCATCAACAGCTCCAGTTATTAGATTCTTCACAATGATCACCTTATTAAAGACATCTCTTTCTCAGGTTAGGTTGTGTTACTACCTTTGTATGTCTTCTTCCTTGTGGATGTTAGCTTCATTGTAGAGATACTAAAAAAATTTTCCTACCATAATCCTCAAATTTTCCTTATCTTTGTTATTTCCTAACCACGGAACCATTACTGAGAACCATGTCCACCCATCTATCAGAACTGGGAAAAAATATGAGTTCAATTCAATTCATCAAACAGTTTTGATGCATCTGTCCTGTGCCAGGCATTGTGGTAGGTGCTAGGGTACAAAGTAAGGAAGATAACCGGCTTACTCTAAAGGAGCTTCCTGTCTAAATCCCACACTCATTTTATCGCTCAGCTTCATCCTATCCACTTTGCTTACTGCCCTCTTGTTCATTACCCGTACAGCCTCCTTCCTTATCTCCCTGGTCTGCTTTCTACTTTTTCTGTGTCTGTTCCTTTATCCAGCTAGTATGTGTTTTTAAAAATAGCCTGTATTCCATCCCGAAGTGTTTGTAATTCAACTCTCCAGAATGGCTTTCTGAATGAAGTAAGACAAGTTGTAAATATGTGATTATTTTAATTTTTTAAAATTACTCGATCAAACAATAATAAAAAGAGATTGTGTTTTATTATCTTTTTTTTTTGACAGGCAGAGTGGACAGTGAGAGAGAGAGAGACAGAGAGAAAGGTCATCCTTTGCCGTTGGTTCACCCTCCAATGGCCGGCGCAGCCGGCGCGCTGCGGCCGGCGCACCGCGCTGATCCGGTGGCAGGAGCCAGGAGCCAGGTGCTTTTCCTGGTCTCCCATGGGGTGCAGGGCCCAAGCACCTGGGCCATCCTCCACTGCACTCCCGGGCCACAGCAGAGAGCTGGCCTGGAAGAGGGGCAACCGGGACAGAATCCGGCGCCCCAACCGGGACTAGAACCCGGTGTGCCGGCGCCGCAAGGTGGAGGATTAGCCTAGTGAGCAGCGGCGCCGGCCGTGTTTTATTATCTTAACAACAATAACCTTTAAAAATAGTTTGAGGGAAAATCAAAAGGTTTGTAGCAGATTTGTGTGTCTTAAGAATTATTTTCAAAAAAGTGTTAGAATTGAGGCTTAGAAAAATCAGAGTACTTGTATTCTTGCCTAACTAAAATTGAAGAGATTTTTTCTCCCCATCTATTCTCACAAACAGCCAGACTTATGTAGATTTATTTCCTAGAAACTGGAATAACAGAGATGTGAAAACAGAAATAAAGAACATGGAAAATGTTGCAAAACTAAAATATTTCTCTAGATCATTCAAATTAATACAATGGCAATTTGATCTCTCAGAAACATGAATAAACTTCTCTTGGTTATCTCAGGAAACTAACTACCTCTTTCTCTTTCTTTTTCCCCCTACTTCTCCCTTACCCCTCAAAAAGGAAAAATAATAATTGTAGCTGTATTTTCCAGAGAGTAGAAAAATTAAACCAGACTGTTGAGTTAATGACTACTTTAAACATCTCAGAAAATACCCAAAACCTTTTGGTTCTCTTCTAATTAAATTTTCTTTTCTAAACAAACCTCACAATTAACTTAAATCACAATTGTATTTATTTATATTTAAATGTGCTATATTTATTTATGCAACTATTTAATTGTGCAATAGTTATGAAACTATTTTTCATTTAAGGTATATGGTATTTCAACTATATTCAGATTAAGTAAGCTTTCTGTGAACCCGCCTTAAAATTTCAACAACATCTATAGTAATGTGTCATAAAGAAATACATTGTAAGATTAACAAATGACTTGCTACAGTATCTATTTCAACCTGGAGAATGTTTCTAATAACACACATTTTCAGTTATGGGTTTTGTACTCAGCTTCATTAATTTATAGTTTTACCCAGAATGCTGCTTTTTAAGATCTTTAAAAATTTTTTAGAGTTCATTTAATTATCTAATTGGTAGTAAATCATTTCATTGCAACATATGAAAGACATGCTATGGACATCATAGTTAGATGATGATCTAGTTAGTCCATGATAACTGAATGTACTAATATTACTATGTCGAGCAATCAGTCATGTACTTCTAATCATTAAAACTCCCAAATGGAGTAACTGTCTGCTTCTTGATTGGACAACAATTGGTCTTCTAAATTTCCATCAGATTGGTTATCCTGTAGCAGTAAGGCTGCATTCTGGTAGCTCACTCACTAAGACTGTTTACCCTCCAGCATTTTTTTCAGAGTATCCTTTACCTCTTTGTTCCTTAGGCTATAGATCAGAGGGTTAAGCATGGGAATTACAAGACTATAAAATACAGAGACCACTTTGTTGTACTTCCATGAATTCTCTGCTTTGGGTTGCCGCAGGTACATGAAAAACAGTGTTCCATAGAAGATGATGACAACAGTGAGGTGGGAGGCACATGTAGAAAATGCTTTGCACTTGCCCTCAGAAGACTGGATTTTTATAATAGAGAGGAGGATGCAGATATAGGAGACGAGGACTGTCAGGAGGGATCCAGTGAGGTTCACTGCAGAGAAAATCAACAGCTGCTTCTCTTTGTTGTGGGTGTCAGAGCAGGAGAGGGCAAGGAGAGGGGGGTCAGCACAGTAGAAGTGGTGGATGACATTGGAGTCACAGAAGGACAACTGGAAAGTCAGAACTGTTTGTATAACAGAATTTAGGAAGCCATAAGTGTAGACCCCAATCACCAGTTCCTTGCAAACCCGCTGTGTCATGATGGCTGTGTAAATCAGAGGGTTGCAGATAGCCATGTAGCGGTCATAGGCCATTGTGGCCAAGAGGAAGCACTCGGTAGTAGCAAAAGCACTGGAGAAATACAGCTGAACAAAACAGCCTGTAAAAGAGATGGTTTTTTTCTTCACCAGTAAATTTTGCAGCATCTTTGGCCCAATGGAAGATGAGAAACAAAGATCAATGAATGCCAGGTGACTAAGGAAATAATACATGGGGGTGTGGAGCCGTGAATCTGCCTTGATGAGCAGGATCATGCCAAGGTTCCCCACCAGGGTTATGAGATAAATTACCAGGAACACCACAAAGAGGGGCAGTTGAAGCTCAGGACGGTCCGTGAATCCCATGAGGACAAATTCTGTCACTGTGGTACGATTGCTTCTTGACATTTTGTTCTTTGAACTCTTGCAAAAAGAAGAAACATGGCTTACACAATGATGAGACACTTAAAAAAGGGAGCTTCTCACACCTCTGTGTTACAGTGCCAAATGACAAAAATGTAGCTTTACTTTCTCAACAGTTAAAGGCTGCCATAAGTCATGGGGCTTTATTCTGCTAATTCGGACTGAGAAATTCTGAGCTCTTTCCATTTTGCTATCAGAACAACTGTTCCCTAGCATAGGTCCTATTTTCCAGGCTAACAGTGGAAGTGTTTTTAGTTCAATGCAACAAATGCATACTTTTGGGCCCTATCAGATACCAGAAAGCATGTAGTGTGCTGGAAGATGGGCATAACACACTTTGTTCTCAGGGGTCCAGAGGAAAGGTTCACAAAGCATTTATTTTACAAGGAGGAGTGAGCTGAGTATGATGAGAGAGTGCTCTGGGGCTCATAATGTTGGTATGGTATTTTTTCTTTGTGCTTCGCAGTAAGGTTTTAAGTGGTTTGACATAGAATCTTTTCCTTTTGAATTCTGATCCTTGTGACTTGGTTAGATAAACATTTCTCAATTTAAAATTATTAAAAATTACCTTATTTTATTCTGGAGTTTTACTGGATTCAATTTTTAAATTTCAATTTTTGATCTCCCTGGAATTTAATTTTGATATAAGAAATTTCTGTAAAGGGTTATCCAGATGTTCTTTTTTTTTAATTTGACAGGTAGAGTTATAGACAGTGAGAGAGACAGAGAGAAAGGTCTTCCTTCCATTGGTTCACTCCCCAATGGCTGCTAAGGCTGGCGCTGTGCCTATCTGAAGCCAGGAGCCAGGTGCTTCTTCCTGGTCTCCCATGCGGATGCAGGAGCCCAAGCACTTGGGCCATCATCCACTGCCCTCCTAGACCACAGCACAGAGCTGGACTGGAACCAGGACTAGAACCCGGCACCCATATGGGATGCCAGCGCCACAGGTGGAGGATTAACCAAGTGAGCCATGTCGCCAGCTCCTATCCAGGTGTTCTAATGCAACTTCTTGTTGGTAAAATAATTTCTTGTTGAGTCTGTTGATTTAAAACTCCAGCCTTACCATACACTAAAACATTCTTGCGTGCTTGAATCAATTTCTCTTTTTCTTTTTAATTATTTAAGAGGCACAAATGGAGAGTGAGAGACAGAGAGCTCCTCTCTGCTGGTTTACTTGCCAAATGCCAACAATGGCCAGGCCATAGCCAGGTTGAAGCCAGGAGCGGGAATTCAATTCAAGTCTCCCTCTTAGGTGTCAAGAACCCAATTATTTGAGCCATTACTGTTGTTTTCCAGGGTCTGCTGTAGCAGGAAGATGGAGTCAAGAGTCAGAGCTAGGTATTGAACCTAGGTATTCCAATAAGGGATACTGACATTTTAACTGGCATCTTAACAGCAAGTCTAACCACCCGCTCATTGGGTCAATTTTTTTGCAGTCTCTTCTAGAAACAACACCAAACATCTAAATACAATAGATGCATAACTCATTTTAATGTTGGGTGGCAAACTTTCTATTTTCACATGTATATTTTTCCATATGCACTTTAACATTATTTTATCAAGTTTCAAAAAATTAAATACTCCTGTTTGCCCTTAGGATGCTAATGTATGGAACTGATTCATTAATTTGGGAGAAGTGACATCTTTATAATCAAACCTTCTTTTATACGAAGTAGTATTTCATTTACTAAAGGCTTTCCTAAAGAGTTTTAGTGTTTTCCTTTAAATTTTAGATATACATCTGTATATTTCTATATTTCACAGCTATTTTACCTTTTTGTCATTATTGTAAATGAAATATATATATATATTATTTATTTATTTTTTTCACAGGCAGAGTTAGACAGTGAGAGAGAGAGAGACAGAGAGAAAGGTCTTCCTTCCGTTGGATCACCCCCCAAATGGCCGCTATGGCTGGCACGCTGAGCCTATCCGAAGCCAGGAGCCAGGTGCTTCTTCCTGGTCTCCCATGCAGGTGCAGGGCCCAAGCACTTGGGCCATCTTCCACTGCCTTCCCGGGCCACATCAGAGAGCTGGACTTGAAGAGGAGCAACTGGGACAGAACCAGTGCCCCAACTGGGACTTGATCCTGGAGTGCTGGCGCTGCAGGCGGAGGATTAGCCTAGTGAGCCACAGCGCCGGACGAAATATATATTTTTAAAAAAATCGTGATCATTTAGCATTTATTTTCAGGAAAGCTACTGATTTTTTATTAATTTTACAACCAAATTCTTTACCATAGTTTCCTATTATTTTAAAACAGTTTTTCAATTGCTTTTCTTGGGTTTTTCAGATATACATTTATAAGACATGTGAATATGTTCCTCATTTCTGTATAGTATCTGCCATTCCTTCCTCTTCTCTACTTGCACTGCTGAGAACTTCTAGAACAAGGTTAAAAAATATTAACAATGGTGACAACTTTTACCTTTCACCCCCTTGAAGGTGCTTTAGAAGCGCAAGGAGACTCTCGGGATTACAGACAGAAGAGAATAGCCTGTGCAAAACAATTGAAGTTTGAGAAGGATCAGGCACTAAAGAGCTGCAAGTATTTAGCGTGGTTAGAAAGTAGGCACCCTAAGAGCAGGCCTGCTTTTGACATTGGCAGGACCCAGGGAAAGAATAACAGATGGAGGCCTGCCTGCATATCTATCTATGCCTAAATATTACAAGTTTAAATTCAATAACAAATTAATAAAATACGTTCAATCTTCCCTCCTTAACATCTGTACCTTTAAAATGACCTGGAAGGCAGAATTTTTGGGATCCTTATAGTTTAGGGCTGGAATACAAAAGTGTAAGGAGAACCTGTCTCCAGCTCTCACACGTGGCTACACATATGTGGACATGTCAGCCCGCAAGTACATGCTCTGTTCATACTCCAGCAAACAGCCAACAATTTGCTACCCTAAAAAACTACTTGTGAGAACATCAGCAGTGTAGTCCACCTTTATAAGGGTGACTTGGGAAAAGGGCACTTGTATACTGTGGTTGGAATTTGGGAATTGTTTGGGCAAAGAATTTTAGGGTCCTGTTACCTGGAAGTTAGTGTAGAAGGGGTGAACAGCATGGACTGTGATTGGGTACATCCTTCTGGTAGTAAAAGTCCAAAAATAATATTAAAGAATGAAACCAAGACAGGGATTGTCTGGACCTAGATGTAGTTCTATCTGAGTGAATGACATGAAATGTGGTTAGAAATGTATACATGGACTAGATAATTGATATCCCATTACTGTAGAAGGAGTTTGGTCTGTATCCTGTAGGAAGTAGACAGTTTTTGATATGAGCTGACATGGTCACTGGAAGATGGAAGGACTTTCAAAAAATGAAGGATAGCTTACGGTATATGTGATCTATTTTTTTATTTCTCTCAATAATAAATTAAAACAAAACAAAACCTTCAGATCTTCTGGCATTAGTAAAAGGATTAAAGGCCAATGTTTTAAGTGGAGGGAACAATTGAACAAGGAGTTGAGTCAGAACAGGCCAGAGCATGTTCAGGGGACTGTGAGCATCATTTTTGGGTAAGCGTAAGTGCACATGAGAGACATTAGTGGGAGACAAACTGCATGAGGTATGTAGAGCTATGAATGCCAGAGAGATTTAATAACTAGTTCAGTAGTGAACATGGAGGAACCATTAACATTTGACCAATAGAATGACTTGACTAGTGCTCAACTTTCAGGGAATTAACCTGGCAATGTGTGTGGATGGACTGAATGTAAGAGTAACCAGCAGAGACACCAGCTGGGACATTTCCACATAAGAGGAATAAAGATTTGAACTAGGGAAAGCTGATTGGAATAAAGAAAGGAGATAGTTATGAGAGATATCCCAAAGACAAGGGTCTATGTCACTCGGAGGTTGACTGAGTCTTTGAGAGCATTCAAGTCTAGGAGACCAGGATAAGGATAATAATGAAAATTGGGAGTTTAATTTATAATTTTACCTTTTCTCTTTCCTAAGGACATCTGACAGAATTTAAACAAACACATATGTACAAAAATTATCATCAATGAACTTAAAAGTAGACAATCAGCTGAGGGAATAAATCTCACTGTATTTACCTAATTATACTGCATTGAGATAGTAGCGATTTTAGTAGAAATAGGAAGTCTAGGCTTGGAGTGAAATTGGAGAAAGGAGTGCTGAATTCAGTTTAAAGGGATGGCAGGTGTCACTGTGCAGACAGAGATAGTGACACTGACCTGAGAGTCATAAACATACAGATGGCAGTATAAGATGTGGGAACCACTGAGATCATTCAGGGAGGGAGAAACAGATGAAGGCAAGGGTTCAAGGACAGAGCTTTGGGGAAACTATTTCTTTAAGGGATGGGATGAGGCATCAGCATGGAAGAAATGGTGACCTATGCTGTCCAGGCTAGCTCATGTTAGGAAATAGTAAGAAGCCTTTTGAATATGGGCTTTTCTGACATAATGGCTTATGGCAGATGTAACCTATTTTGTTTCAGTTTGTATCTTCTTCATTAATTGCTTAAAACAAAAACAAACCTTGAGAACTTCAACCATTACACTGAAGATTATTCAGTAACATTTTTGCTTATAAAATGCTTCTTCTTCAGAATTTTGTGCCATCTAAAGTTAAAAAAAACCATTCTCTTGGATTCATTTCTAGACTTGATGAAGACATCTCACCTCCATTAGGCAATAACATTTCCTACCTCAAGCTGAGCCCTGGAAAGGTTTAGTAACTTTTGGAAGAGCCTGTAAAGCCAGCATGCAGACTCTAGCTTTCTTTAATAGCAGAAGAGAAGGGCACAGTGAACTACTTTGAGAGCCTGATGAACGCTAAGAATCTGCTTCTAGGGAAGCTGCTACTATGGTTTCTGCAGAGAATAATGCACCAACAAAAACTCCTAGTCTTTCCAAGTAAAGGTCAGTTGATCCTTCCCAATTCCATCCCTGGCAGAGCACAGCTTTCCCAAGGCACTGTCCTTCTCATGGTCCCAGAACTGAAACTCTTTACTCTTTTCTTGGTTGTTTTCTGTTTTTGCTGACAGCCTTAGAAGCAAACACAACTTACCAAGGACCTACTGGACAGTCAGTTGGAATTCCCAATGCCCTGGAAGAATCCACCTACTGCATTTCCAACCCAAGAAACAGACTTCTTCATTTCTGACTGGAAGGCTTGGTTTCTGTGTT